CTTTGTGCAAATAACATATTGGCAACTAAGAGGTGTGATTTAAAGATTCTGCAAGGAGGAAGAGAAAGAAGTGTGTTTACTTAGTGGTCTCTGCAATTTTGCATGTCATTTGTTTTTCTGCTGAGGTAGCAAGTGCTTGAATAAGCCTTATAAGATGAAAGCTTCAAAAGTTTTTGCCTTCCAATAACAACCACGTGTTTCCTTTTGAAAGCCTGGGACACAATAAAATAAAAAGCTCAGCTAATTTTTACTGATGCTGTCAGTTTGTCTTTCTGAAATACTTTAATGTTGCTTATTTTTTCGAGATACTTTTTCACAGCCTAGGTTTTAGGAAACGTACAGTACGATTAACTAACCTTTGTTTATTCACAGAGCTATACAAGTGTATTTACTGAGGCACATAGGGCCAATACAGGACAAGTATCCACTGATGAAAGTCTCCATTCATAAGACTCACCAACTGACAGGACACATAAGCATGTCTCCAACCCAGCTTGTTTGGAACTAGTCACACCTAGAGCTACCTAGGGAACTCGGTGCCACACTTGCAGGCTATTCAAGCGCAACTGTGTCTCCAAAACATCTCTCTCAGAGGCTATCCCCCTTATGTCTTAGGCCTCTGGGTTGAAAGCATCATGTTCTGGTCATGTAGAATTTCTGGTTTACAACCCAAAAGCTATTCATCACTGTTAACCTAGTATGTATGACCTGTTACCAGTTGTGAGGTATGGCTCAATCAAGAGGTCTGCACCAGAAGTCTGAGACTTTCTGCTGGTTCAAAGTTGTTTCCAAATTACCTGTTAGTTTTGCCAGGCTACATTAAACAACTAATGTAAGAGAGGGGAAGCAGTTTGCAACTAGGGCAGCAGTTCATATCAACAGAACAAGCATAGCTACTTCAAAATCAGGAATTAAAGATGCAGTGAGTTTAGAAGTTAATTTAACACCACAGAACCTTTATGTTACACACCTGAACTTTTATTTCTTTAAGTAGCAGCTAAGAAAATTTTCTAAAAATCTTATGGGCTCTCCCTGGCACACATTTAATCAACTCGCACTGTTCTCTGGTCCCTTAGACTCAGCTTCACCGAGCCACCTACATATATTTGCTAAAAGTCAGTTTGCTTATCTGTATCAGAGCAGTACAACTACAAAGACAGCTTGCTCCTGTGGGGTAACAGAAATGTTTGGTAGATAAAAAACAAAAACATCATTAAGATGCTTAACTCCAGAAGCTTCAAGGTTCTAAATTATGATCAAGACATTACATAATATAATTAGTCGTTAAAACGAGTTCTCATTTCTTCACAAGTCGGTGCTGATCTTCAACTAAGATCATTAATCACACTGCACTTATTTTGAAACTTGGTAGTATTTTGTAGAATGCAAAATGCATCTGAAGCAACAAAACAGAATCTTCTTTCCAATTTTTAGGGGGGGAATATTTATGAATATTTGCTCTAACATAATGATGTCATTGCTACTGCTCCATTGGACATTACTATCCAATCATAACATCTAGCCATTTATAGAAGCAAGCAATTATAGATACACAAAAAAATAAATCCTACAATTCACTACAGTTGGGTATTATGTTTGACCAACTCTACAAAGTTAAAGTGCTGTGTCCAGTTCTGGGTTGCCGAGTGCAAGAGAGACATGGACATACTGGAGAGAGTCCAATGTAGGGCCACAAAAATGATGAAGGGACAGGAGCACCCCTCTGATGAGGACAGGAAGAGAGAGTTGAGACTGCTCAGCCTGGAGAAGAGATGTTTCAGGGGGATCTTCATGTACATAAATACTTGAAGGGAGGGTGCAAAGAGGACAGAGCCCAGCTCTTCTCAGTGGTGCCAGTGACAGGACCAGAGGCAAACATAAGAGGTTCCCTCTGAACCTCAGGTAACACATTTTCACTGTGAGGGTGACTGAGCCCTGGCACAGGTTACGCAGGCTGTTTGTGGAGTCTTCATTCTTGGAGATATTCAAAATCCATCTGGACATAGTCCTGGACAACGGTCTCTAAGTGACCCCACTTGAGCAAGGGGTTGGATCAGATGACCTCCAGAAGTCCCTTCCAACCTCAACCATCCTGTGTTTTTATATAAAAACATAATATAAATTATACATATAGGCCATCATTATATTATATTCTACTTGGTAGAGTAGCATGGGATAAAGCTCTGAAGGGAAGAGGAGCCCAAGAAAGCTTGTTAATATTCCAAAGATGACCTCCTCCAAGCTCAGGAGCAATGCATCCTGTGCTCAGCAAGATCATGGAGCGGATCTTCCTGGAAACTATGCTGGGGCACATGGAAAATAAGGACGTGATTGGTGACAGCCAACATGGCTTCAATAAGGACAGATTGTGCCTGTCAAATCTGGTAGCCTTCTATGACAGGGTTACAGCACTGGTGGATGTGGGAAGAGCAACTGACATCATGTACCTGGACTTGTGCAAAGCATTTGACACTGTCCCGTATGACATCCTTGTCTCTAATTTGGAGAGACATGGATTTGATGGATGGACCATTCAGTGGGTAAGGAATTGGCTGGATGGCCACACTCAGAGTTGTGGTCAACAGCTCGACGTACAAGTAGAGACCAGTGCTGTTTAACATCTTTGTTGGTGACAGGGACAATGGGATTAAGCACATCCTCAGCAAGTTTGCTGACAACACCAAGCTGTGTGCTGTGTGGTGCAGTCGACACGCAGGAGGGAAGGGATGCCATGCAGAGGGACTTGGACAGGCTTGAGAGGTGGGCCCGTGCAAGCCTCATGAAGTTCAGCAAGGCCAAGTGCAAGGTCCTGCACATGGGTCGGGGCAATCCCAAGCACAAACACAGGCTGGGTGATGAGTGGATTGAGAGCAGCCCTGTGGAGAAGGACCTGGGTTTGTTGGAGGATGGAAAACTCACTATGAGCCAGCAATGTGCACCCACAGCCCAGAAAGCCACCTGTGTCCTGGGCTGCATCCAGAGAAGTGTGGCCAGCAGGCTGAAGGAGGGGATTCTCCCCCTCTGCTAGGGAGACCCACCTGAAGTGCTATGTCCAGCTCTGGGGCCCCCATCATAAGAAGGGCATGGACCTGCTAGAGAGGGTCCAGAGCAGGGCCAGGAAGATGATCAGGGGGCTGGAGCACCTCCCCTATGAGGACAGGCTGAGAGAGTTGGAGGTGTTAAACCTGGAGAAGGGAAGGCTCTGGGGAGACCTCATAGTGGCCTTCCAGTACTTAAAGGGGGCCTACAGAAAAGATGAGGAGGGACTCTTTAGCAGGGAGTATAGTGGTAGAACAAGGGGTAACGGTTTTAAACTGAAAGAGGGGAGATTTAGATTAGAGGTAAGGAAGATATTCTTTACTGTGGGGGTGGTGAGGCACTGGCACAGGTTGCCCAGAGCAGCTGTGGCTGCCCCCTCCCTGGAAGGGTTCAAGGCCAGGCTGGACAGGGCTTTGGGCAACCTGGTCTGGTGGGAGGTGTCCCTGCCCATGGCAGGGGGGTTGGAACTAGATGATCTTTAAAGGTCCCTGTCATCCCAATTCATTCTATGATTCTATAGATATTAAAAAAAAAAAAATCTAACATAAAGGGTTAATATACACTGCTTTAACACACACAACCATATAAACAGTTAGATACCAATACAAACACTAACTCAAATCCAAGAATAAATTCATTCATGTACACTGAAAAATATGACTTAAATACAGCACAACTACTTTGATGACTATAAATCAACATGGAAGAGCACACTTGCTGAGATATTGAGATTTAAAGTAAATAAAGGCACACATGCCTTAAAATGGTGGTATTGAATAAGCACAAACCACAGGAGTGCTGGCAAAAAAGGCTTCCCTTCTCTGGTGAGGTACACAAGGAAATTCTACTGTTATCACTGATGTTCTGAAGGGGGTATAATGAAAGCTGCTCCATTCTAAAAATGAAAATAAGCACACACACATTCACTTAGTTGTATTAGCAGTGTTAATTCAAAAATATTGTTTTAAAGAAACCTCAGTGCCAGCTAGACTCTAGAAAACAAAGTCATTATGTTAGCATTTGCTCTGTCATCAGATGCAGGCATCTCTAACACAAGGCATCAATCTGCTTAGCATAACACAGAACAGTAATGTCAGACCAAAAAAAGAATTGTAGAAGAGAAAATAAAGATGAATGTTATTCTAACTTAAAAAAACCCAAAACCTGCATATATGAATGTTAATCTGACACTTCATATAGTGTTTAACAATTGGAAATCTAGAAAGCAGGAACTTTCAGCAATGACTGCACTTGGTGCCTCACCAAGATGCCTCGTTCAAAGCACATTCAAAAGAACCTCAAAATTTACTGGCAGTCTTCTGGATGAGAATCAACTAAACCAAAGTTTCCTAAAATAGGACTGTAAGTAGTAAACCACACAGCTAGTTATCTATGACTAAATCTCCAAGAACTGCATGTCCCTATAAACTGCTGGTTTTATGACTAGATAGTAACGTTTAACAGAGCAGCACACAATGACTTCATCATGCTAGAGCTAATATTCATGAACATTCAAACAAAAAAAAAAAACAAAAAGGGAATAAATTGGAAACAAGATTTTATTTTCTCTCTTTCAAGGAGGAGATATGTAATGGAAAAAAAGAGTTATTTCATCTTTTTAAGATGGAGCTTGTCAAATTACTTTTAAAAACCACCAAGTTATTTTTTCTAAATAATCAAAACTGTAAGAGCCTTGATCCCTAGCATTCCAATCATAATACTTCCAACTTTCTTATTAAATACTTAGTAGATTATACTAAAGAAAACTTCCATATAGCATTTCTGAAAGTTTAACTTCAAATAAGCTTCATATTTTTCCAGAGCTTAGAAAAAGAGAATTAAATCTTTGTCTTCAGAAATAAAAGCTGAGTCAGAGTGGAAAAAAAACCACTATCGTTTGTATATTCTTTGTCTGAAAATGCAGTGGTAAATTTAGAAATCAAGTTCCTCAGACTTCTTACCTTATCAGTTTTTTCCCCAGATTTCTTCTTCTTAGGATTATCCTTCCAAAGAGATTCTACAGCAATATATCCCTGAAGACTCCAGTCATACAGCTGTGTACCAGCAACCTTTGAAACAAAAGGTATTAGAAAGCATTAACTTAAACACAAAGCAAAATATTATTTCCCAGATTATTAAGTGGAAGAAGTCTTAAAACACAAGATCTTTAACATCTTCCTGTTCAAGCTCAGGGTGTACAGCACTAATAAACATCTTGAAAAAAAATACACATGAGGAATAAGAAAAGCCAATTTGCTAAAAAACTGCTTGAAAGCTACCTGAAAATATATCTGTACAAAAAGGGGTGGAATGATGCTGCATGGAAACAAATCTGGTTTTCTTAGTATTTGATGTTCAACAGATGTAACATACGTAAATTATTTCTTCGTTTGACCATACTAATTTTAAAGACAAAAACAACAAAAAAAATCCAAGCCCTACCTAGTTTGTCACTATTTTGCCATTTTACATTTTCACTGCTTTAACAGAACAATAAGAGTACCTTTTTGTTTGTTTTTATTTGCTATTTAGAAGAAAGACCTAATTTGCTGATAGATGGCTGTAATGAATAAGCAGCTGTCGACACTCAAAACAGAAGACAGCCAGGAAACACGGCGTTTGCTATATTACACCAACAGGTAATTTTACAACAGGAAAAATCCGGAAGTCTAGTAGAAGAGTATCTCCTGCCTCTTAAAATGATATGGAACAGTAATATCCTTTAAAACTCACAGCTCTAGGCTCAGAGCAGTACTCACTTTCATATCACTATCCACTTTCTTACAAATAAAGAACAGTAAAAATGGACAATTTGCCCAATTAGACAGCTATTAAAGTAAAAAACTTACGAAATCAAGAAATACGAAAGTATCACTCCATCCTCCACAGCAGGGAAAGCTAGAAAACTAAAACTGTGAGAACAGGGCAAGCAAAAGTGATGTTTCTGAAAAAGTTTCTGAATGAAATTTTTAAGTTTCTTCCAGTCTCAAACAATTCACTGCTCAGAGTAGTATAACAACGCCCAAGGAATTTCCTCCCATGACCTTGTTGCACTTCCCTCTGAGCCCCAGGCAAACTTTTTGCACCCAGAACATCCCATGTCACGGAGTTCTACCACTGGGCACATATGGTGAGAAGAATGACTTTCCTTTGTCTGAACGAAATTAAGTACACCAGTTATGTACCACAATGGTAAGGGATGTGCTTCTGGGCAGAGACCATGATACTACCTTCCAGAAGAGTCTATTTAATAATTAGAATTGAAAGAAAACCAACCCAAATCAGCAACTACATTTCCAAGTTAACTAAATTCAAAACGTAGGCTGCTTCATATACAAAGAGCTAGCATGTTTGTCACCACATTTGACAGTTACAGTTGTCCTTTGGTTTTAAGCAAGTCAGTATGATGCACTGAGTTGTCTCTATATTTGAAGGTGATAATAAAGGTCATTGGAAAAAAACATACCAACTGTTCCAGGGATGAAAATGTTAAATCTCCAAAATCCCTCAATTCAAACATTACGGGTATAAACAGATATCTTTTTTAGTATCAGGAGTGTTCACTCTCAAGTACTTCAGCAAACTAGTTCTGAAAGTCAGAGGAGCCTATGGCTCATCTGGAAAGGTAAGTGTCATCGGTTGTGCAAGTAGTACAAACCCACTAGTACTGAAAAATAACCACAATAAACAAAAAAAAAAAAGGGTTTTTTTTGTCTGCAATGTTACTGAGGACACAGCAATCAACATCAAATGAGAAACAACCACCATCCATAAGCAATCTGTTGTTCCTGCTTAAAAATACTCCATTAAAATACTTCACTCTAAATACCTAACAGTACAAACATAAAAATATTCTTATTATTGGAGTCATATGGTCAAGTGAATTATGAATTGCACTAAATGAGAAACTGGTCATTCATGTTGCTAGAGTAAAGTAGCTACATCACAAGATACAGCAGCCCAGATAGTTTCATCTGCCACAGTCAACCAATGTTTCAACAATGTGAACACCTCCCAAGAGCTGGGACCCATGCACAGGTTCACAGTTCACATGGGTTGAAAAATACTGTTCTAGGTAGACTGCAAGTTGCAAATTCCAGGGTCAACAGGACCATAGCCAAGAAATGTTTATATTTATATTTTGTATTTATAACCACCCAATGAATCCTCTCATGAACACAACACTGGAGTCATACGTTAGGATTGTGTTTTATACCTCCTCTTTCTCATGGAGCAGTTGAAGAGGAACCAGGTGGGTACTGCAGTGGCCACCACTATTCTTGGGAGTGGCAGCTCCAACCAGGAAGAGTAAAAGGAATAGTAATAATACAAACAGTTCTTCCCACTGTTAAAAGTGCTCACTCGAACATTCATACAAAGAGTTCCTTTCAAAGAGGGACAAGTTTTCCCATTCAGTCATCTGGAATTCTTCATTTCTGGAAGATAATAATTTCCAGCTTGTTTGTGTTCAATTACAATGGGATAAAATACCATCTCAGTTCAGTGCAACACTTGAAGTTCATACCCTAAAATTTGAACAAACAAATTCAGCAGACAGATTGAGTGGTTATCAACAGGGACTCTGAAATAGTTTGAAAGTGACCTTGGGTCACAAACACCTGTAGTACTAGGCACTACTGGGGTAGCACCAGCAGTCTCTAGGGCCTAACGTGCACGTAAACAAGCTCCCATATTTTAATTCCACACAGGACCAAAAGCATGTAGTGTTGACTATACCATATGTTATACATCAAGATGATCAAACAGAATTATGGTTAGCAGTTTTTTATCTGTATCGCATGCCAAGAAACTCAAATGAGAATATGATGGCTTTTCTACATTTATGTTGTTAAAGTAGCCATAGTGCAATTTCACAAGCATTTAATTCTGCAGCAAACATAGATCAACTGACCCCAACTCTTTCTCAACCCATAGGCCCTGTAATCATGTCATGATCTCAGTTCTGCCAGTACGACTGTCTGTGCCTTATGAAATGACCTGGGCAAGGGATGAGGTATAGGCTGAAAAGACAGAAATAATTTATTCTGTTGTCAAAGAAATAAACTCACCTATTAGGAAGCTTTTCTTTCTTTCAAAAAAGTGGTAAGCATAACACACACTACTTTAGATAATTTAAGAAGTTCTAATAACAAGGAACAAAAATTAATTCTAATGATAAAGAGACTGATTTAAGTAACTTCATAATGGAAAGATTTTTCCAGATGGAAGAGAAGCCACAGTAATTACAAAATATTTTGAATGTATCATGATTAGCTGGAAAGCAATACATTTCCAAAACACTAGTTAAAGTTCCACCAGAACAAAATAAACTTAAGTATTAAATTTGGTTCCCTTACTACATATGCAGTCTGGCCAATTGTTCAAAGTTATATGAATTAAAGTAATATTAGCAGTGAGGAAGTAAATCCTTTACAAATTTGTGATTTATTACAATGATTACTAAAGCAGGAAAAAAAAAAAGTTAGTACATTTCTGCCATCTCCAGTTAGATTAATAGTTTCTGAAAACCACCCATTATCAATGATAAACTCTGTTGCTCTAACTTGCACTTAGCAACTGACACATTTCAAAGAAAAAAGTTTTCTTCCAGACAGATGCATCAAGCGCTGTACCTCAAACAGCAAAACACATTTGCAGTTATTTCCAACTCTCCAGTGGAAAGTCATTAATAAAGGTGGGAAGGAAAAAAAACCAAAACAAACACCCAAAACTTTTGTAGTCTTTTAAAGTATGGTCAAATCTGAAAGTTTACCAAATGAAGGGAACTATACATACCACTGTAAAAGAAAAAGCAGTGATGAAGTACTCAAATGTGGAAGAAAAATAAAAAATACAAAATTCATATTCCAGAGTATTTCCTATACTGTTCTATTAACTTGGCAAGTGAGCTTTGTACTGTAGGTATCTACTTTTAGGCTTACAGAATTTTTTTGAAAGGCCTATGGAACATTTCAAAATATTTACTAGAGAGCAAAGTGCTTCCAATTTCAGATCAAAGCATAAAAATTATGGATAGTTAAGATGTGATATGTTTAAAACTGTGCTTCTTTAGAAAAATGCAAGAGACATTAGAGGAACGAAAACAGTATCTAGGATAACCCCCTCTCCACAGAAGTTTCCAAACTCCTATGTCTAGTGTCCTGATCAAGTCAACAAAGCTAAACCTATTCCAATCAAGTTTCAGGCTCACGGTCTCATATCAGATTTTTCATTACAGTCAAACTAAGAACTGTAAATTAATCAAAGGGCAATCATGCACTTCAAAGTTTTCGTAAAATAAACAAGGTATTGTGAAACTGTTAGTAGTAAATCCATAGTTAAGACTGGACTGAGCTTCTTTAAAAACAGTAACATCAGTTTGAACACCATTCAGTCACTTCCCACTTCACTGTTCAGAAGGCAACTAGAATTTTAATACGCAGTTTCCAACAGAAATATCCAAGTTTCTTAAATTTTGGTGCCTTTTTTTTCCTGTCACTTCTGTAATTTTCACTCTTTAAGAATAAGTCAACAGAACTATCTGTATGTAGAGCATCTGAATCCTGGAAGGACTAAAAAAAGATTCCATCAAAGATTAGGGCATCACCATGCTGGCAGAGTTCAAACACAGCATTTTTGACTCTCCCCAAGTCAATGACCTTTTAGTTTTCAAAGAACACCATATGTTCTTGAGAATATCATTTTCATTCCAACATCTCAGTGTTATTCACAATTCACCAATAACTGGATAGCCAATTTACCAAAGCCTGAAATATAAAGAATTTCTGATACACTAAATATGTGTGGTGTGAGTGGTTAAAAGATGGATTTGAAAGAGATTGTGGTGGAGAACTGAGGAATCTGCCAGTACAATGAAGAGTGGACAGCAAGGCACATGATTTGACATCAATAGAGGCTATAAACAATTGTCTGGCCTCTGCAGTTTTCTTCCAAATGAAACCCACTTATGCAACTGTAAGTTAACATGTTTTATGTGCCTGAAACAACAAATGCATAAACAGGAATGGGTTCCAATAAGCAGCACGATTCTCACCCCATTCCACAATATGCATGCTATCTTTCTTAAAACTCTTATTCAACAAAAAGCAGAAAACCTCAATAACAAGGTTTATCTCAAAATGTTGTTCCTAAGATTTCTCTATAGAATCTCCTTTATTTTTTTTCTTCTTTCAAACCCTGTTTTCACTTGCTCTGAAGATATTTCAGGCTTCCTTAGTCTTGTAATTAAACATGCAAACTGTGCTTACTAAGCATATTTACATTAATGTAGAGTTACTTGAGGTTAGAGATTCAGAAAGGAAATTATGTTCCTTAAACTGAAGACACTACTGCAGATGTTAGTAAAAAAAGTCACAAAAAAAAAAAAAAAAGAATGTCTGAACATCTTTCAGCCTAGACTGCACGTTCTTTGACAAAATAACTATCATTTTGTTAAGTGCCAAACACACTGACATAGCTTTTAAAAATGATTAGCAGTTAATTTGAAGGTAGGAGGCAGTAGTCAAAGTAAAAGACACTTTTCCAAATAAAGGTATCATGACTGACCTTTGCAATAGCAACCGCTTGCTGAGGGTAATACATGGAGGCACCAATACCCATGAGACCTGCAGGATACACTAACTTCTTTATTTTTGAGCCTGTTCCATAACAAAAAAAAAAAAAAAAGAAACAAAACAAAACATTGTTAGAGTGTATGTTAACCAAGACAGTTGAATGGCCCTATCCTTTTATTTATAATCAAAACAATTTTATTAAATACAGTTTAGCATATTTTCTGTTCACTCCTGGTTTCTGAAGAAATTACTCTTATCAGTAATTATTCTTTTAATCTTCTCAAGAGACTATTTTTATTAACACCTTTCCATAGTAAGAACTACCTTACATCTATATTTACTGTAGTAATACATAATTTATGTCAGTACTGAATAATGAAGTAAAAGCCACAGCTAAGAGATATTGAAGAGAATTATACCAACTGATACTCTTTTCTAAACTAAAAGGAGAAACTCAGGCAAGGAAAGGTTAAGATAGGATTTGTTTGATGCATTCTTTTGATACATCAAGCAGAACAAGAGACCTTCCAATGCAAACTTTGTAAGTCACCTTGACTCACAAATACTGATTCTTCCACAACTGCTCATGAATAATTTTTCTTGATTCACTACAGCAATTTGCAAAGCATTTGAAAGTACTTTTAAAGTACTTACAATTATGCTATACGCCTATTGCTCGGTCTCCAACTAAACTGTGAACATTTTAATCTATTTAAACTCTATTCAATTATATAAGTCTAAAATAATTTAACTGTCTGAAAAGGTCATCGTCTTATCCCAACTTGCCAGAGGTTGCACACCCTGGCTGACCAGTGACTAAATGCATCACTGAATCAGTTACAGGGCACATGCTGCAGCTTAACCAGTCAGAAAGGAACATAGAAGGAAGAAGGTAAAAGAAAAAAGCAAGCAGTACTGGAGAAAAAAGGTCATAGAACAGACAGACATACAAGAGTCAGGACACAGTAGTTCTGTTCCTCATAGAACAGCCTGTTCTATATGCAAAGCCACACGTGCTTCTAATAAAGGAGTAATGAATTTTGAAGAGGAAATGCATATTAGAAGTGTTCACTGTTTCCACTAACATATGCTCATGATGAGATAAGAAACTTAGCAGTAAACAAGAGACATTTATAAAGTGATATTGCTAATCTTGTGCAGAGGGAACTTGGTATCAATTAGCTATAAGAAAGCACAGAAAAGGCAAGCTTCATTTTATCTTCACAACCAGAAAAATTACATTTTTGTTGCAATTTCTGGGAATGGGGAAATCTTCCTTAGTGATAGCTTGATGGTGTGCCTACAAAAATCACTTAACAAATAAATGTAATAGTTGAAGATATTAATGCCTTCCAGAAGGATGCTACCTGCCAGAGATACCCATTAGAGGGAAGTTCAGGAATACTCCTGTATCCATTCCAGTACTAGTCAATGAAGCTAGAACAAATTATCTTCCAAGGCATTTTAAACCAAGCTGGCTGATGGTACAGTAGTCACATGATTAAACTCTGAATACCGTACTTTCTACTCAGCAGGCAGCTGTATCTTCAAGTGTTATGGTTAGATCTAGAAGATTTTATCTGTACCTTCCAACAGGGAAATTTTTCCAGTGAGACCAAGGGGGGAAAGGGACATTTGGTTCTAACTTTCTGTAGCATCAACATTAAGGGGCACTTCCTTCTACAATTTGAATACTTTCTGGAAATAACAGTCAGTATTGTAAACTACAACCAGACAAAAAGTTTTAAAATTGTATCTCCCATCCCAAAAGGTCCAAAAATCAGACATTTGTATTATGAGGAATTTTTTACTTTTACTAAACTTAGGACCCACTAATCTTTCAGATACAGCCCCAAGACTGCACTCTCCCCATCCCCCCAATTTTGATACAGTTGTAAAGGCTGGAAGCTGATCTCATTCATAATCACATAACTCAAAAATAGAAATCTGAAGAGAAAGAACTTCAAATGGGTAAAGTTGGAGACCTTGATGTTCATTTAAAAAAATGTTAGAAAAAAATACTGCTTTCATCATCTTCACTGGAAAATTAAATACTTTGAGGAGTGCATATATAAGTGCACATATTCACAGAACGCTTTCCATTTCTACATGGCCAAGCACACACTTCCAGTTTGTTCAACACATGCAGGCCCCACAAAGGTGTGTTTTTATCCAAAGCAAGTCCTCACTACTGTTTAATTTCTGTAACTTTACATTTCCATTACCTACAAGATTTCCTCTTATTTTGTTTCACTGTATTAAGAATACAAACACAAAATACTTTTCACAATTAACATTTCTTAAAACAACATTTATTTGTAGGAAAGCATGAACATATTAATTTCTTCAACTAGTGTGATGAACTAGTGTGATGTATGTATAGTACACTCATGAGTTCACAAGTATTTTTGATGAATATCACCATCTGCAGCAGCTCTGTGCCTGGACACGCAAAATTTCAAAGTAACTTGAATATACAACTGTACATGTGTCATAGCTCAAGAACTTCCATATTTTACCATAATTTATTCCTCTGTAGTTTTCTACAGTGACACATGTGATCAAGAACCAAAATAAGTAAAAAGATTTTTAGGCTAAAAAAAAATCCTTTCCTATATTTGCTATAATAAGCTAGGCCTGGAAAAGATCAAAAACTAGATTCCAGTAACAAATACAGTATTCATAAACAATAATTGATGGCTATTACACACCTGTTACATTAAGTTCCTTTATAATTGGAGAAACCTTGTAGAAACATGCTTGTACAGTTAAGTTAGATCTCATGCATCACAATTAAAAATTAGTATCCAAAAAGACACACATAAATTAACCCAAATCACAACATAAGCAGTTCAAAAGGTTCTCACTAACCTCTAGCAAGGAACAATCCAACAATTCCAGCAAAACCTATCACACCAAGCCTTGGATAAAATCCAGCAGGGGGGTTTTGGAGAAATTCACAGCCCTCTGAAAAGAAGTCAGAACAAAGTGCTTTAATGTAATGTGAAAGTGTTTTTGTGATAAGGAATCATCAAAACATAAAGAGTTATCAAAACACATTTAACTATCAGGCACATTTTAGATCTACTGGCATAAAATTCAAAGCCTTTGAGATCTTCTCTAGTGACACATGAATGAAACTGAACATTCTATTGTATTTACCAATTTTCATAGAAGCTTTTGCCTTTGCTCCTGGACTATCTGTTTTGTTTTGCTCTTTTGCATCTCAGTTACCTCTTCTTCAAATTAGTGATAAAAACCTTTGCAAAATGGATTCTTACATTTACATGTTAACAAGAATTAGTTTCGCTAAAACATTGTACAAAAAACGAATCACAGAACAAATGAAAGACACAGCATAAACAAAGCTCACTCCAAGATGGGAGTCTGATGGGGAAATGGAAAACTATGAAAAACCTCCCATACAAAGAAGTTCAAAAGACAGACTTAAGTTTAAGGAAAAGAGGTGCAGTATCTGAAATGAGCTCTACATAGCATACACGCTCAGTATTGATGAGCCTAAGAATGAAAGGATGGTTCCAAAACCAGAAATACATACAAATTATTTTGGATTAATTCAAAATTCTTCAGAGATCCAAGGAAGTAAGCCAAAATGAAAAAGCTTATCATTACAAACAGAAGACCCAACAGTTGTGACAAGTAATAAATATTGCAGGAAGTTTCAGTTACTTGTCTGGGTCAAGCAAACACTACAAACTGTGAGGCTTTTTTTTCCCTTCTTTTCTTTCATAACTGTCATTTTTAGAGACACTAGTCAACATAGATGCAGGTCTCAGATTTTAACTGTTTAGAAAATGTAGTGTCATAAGGACCTACAAAGGAAATTTAAACAGATATACAGTGCAAATAGTCTTAAATGTATTAGAAATTATATATTTAATGATGCTTAATGGAATTCCCTTTAAACTGAAGATACAGTACAGTCCTGAATTTGAAATTGCTAATTAAGAAAACTAAACTGATTTACCTCTACCATGCTCAACAGCTTTTTCTAATTTGGGCATAGCTTTGGCATAAAGATCCTAAAAAAAAAAAAGAAATAAAAGAATAACAACAGTGAATAGATACCAAGTAATTAAAATACTAACTACAGATTGTAACTGACCTGACATACAAAGGGGAAAAAAAAAAAAAAGAAAAAAAGAAAAAAAAAAAAGTATTGGGTCCCTAAAGTAACTTCCTTTTATTCCCACTTCCACCCTTCACTTACAGGGCTATGCTTGCTCATTGTGACATTTGGCAAAACCTACAGCTTTTTCTCAAAGCAGTCTTTGGACACAGATGAAATATAATATCTCAGAACGCAAAAATCAACTTCAATATTTCACTCAGTACCTGGTCAGGCAGCTAAAACTCACGATTATCTCAGGTTTCTCATTGTATGTAGGTATCAAAAAATACTTGAGTTGATGCAAAGAAAGGAAGTACAGTGCCGTAATAAACTCTTTCGTAGCACTTCACAGGCATACTCCAAGGTGATAAATTCCACTTTCCAAAAGAGTATCTTAGGTTAACAAAACTGCATTTTTGAAGTGATGTAGAAACGGAGATGTCCATACAGTGTCCAAAGTAAATCAGAGAGGACTGCAACAATCCCACAAACTAGTGCTAGACTTTTTTCTCAGACTGAAAATATGCAGGAAGTAAAAGAATTCACATTGCCTTTAATCAAAGTAGGAAAAAAAAAAATTCTCAATTTGAGCAACCCTGATAATTGTTATGATGTTAATAATCTTTCCGAGAGACAGTGTAAGACTGTTTATCAATTAAGGAACAAGTTCATAAACATGCATGACCAAAGCTAAAGCAGAGAATGGTCTCGCAATACCTCTTGAGCTGTATCTGTGCAGAAGTGAAAGCATTTGTTCAGGACACTGCATGGGGATAATATCTTTAGAACTTTCATTTCCTCACTGGCAAGACTGACTTAAAAAAAATTGTCATGAAAAAGAAGTGTCAGCATGTGACACACACCATAACTCTAAATGGACGTTGGTCTTACTAAAAGCCAATGAAAAAAGCACGTGCTCTAAAGACCCCAGAGGCTAGGTCTGATCTTCTGCCACAGCTCACGCGTAACTGGCTCATTTCTACATGTTTTGAACGGACTTTCCACTGCAGTTAAGCAAGCAACTCTAAAAATTTAAAATGGATATACAGACATAGCGAATTTTACTCTTGCTATCCTGCATTATGTTTTTAAAGACAACTGACAGACACCTAAAATGTTATTTTCTTTAACAGAGCGGGGGTGGGGGGAAGGAACCAAAACTATCTCTGACTATGGTTAAGCAAGTAAGATGATCCCAAACCCATGAAGTTTACATGTCCACTTCATAAAATGACTCAGTAAACCACTGCCAGGAAATGGTTTGTTGTGTGTGAGCAGAAGAGCACATCTTATGTAAATAACTACCATGCAGACAAAACATAAGGCAAATAGGAAGACAACAGGCCAGTGAGACAAAGTGCTTTTCAAGGCTTACCTGCAGTCAGTTCAACTGGGCAACTAACCTCGTCTCAAATTTCATTCCTGGTTCATTACAAAATTAATTACCGCAGGCAACAGAACAGAACATGCATTTAGAAGGTCAGAGCTCTACCTATACTGTAGAAAATCCCCCTTCTTCAAATCTGAAGTCAGTACTCCTGCTGGTGGCACTTTAGAAACACATCACTAGACTGAGTAACCCTGAGTATTTCTGAAAAAACGTTTCAGTGTTAAAGGTTAGTACCACAACACAGAACTTCTAGGCAGAAAGGGCACCCTGGTCTCAACAGCTTGGCTTTCCATGGAGGACTGGAAAACCAGTTTGCAGCTTAAGAATTAGATTCACAACAAGAGTACAAAGCAGAGAATCACCTAAAGTTACCAAGAGTCAAACAGATGACAAGGATGCCCTTGCTTCAAATAAAAGACTCAATATTTGCTGGGTCAGGAAAGAGCGAGAAAGCCATCATATGACTCTGCAATCTAACATCAATAATTTAGGCCTTGATTACAAAGATTTTGGGATTCCTCCAAAGACTATTTTTGTATTTTATGATTGCTTAGTATAAACATGCTACCTAATAAAACATATAAGAAAGTTTTGGGGTAAGGTCTGGGGGCTAGGTTTGCCACTACTAGTGGCCCGGGATTTTCTCTCTTCCAGAGCGCCATGTTCCTTCCCTCAACATTCCTGTTCAGCAAATACTGATTTATTTTCTGCAAAGTTGTGTTTTGTCACAGTTGCAGTGAGGACAGCTTGGTATTGCTGCTCCAAAACATACTGCTTGGTAACTTAAGGCCTTCTGCTTGAGCATGGAAAAAGAAAATTTAATCACTCTTCTGTCTTCCTCAGTCACAGGATGGTACCAAATCCAGATATCCCTAGATATCTTTAACCCTAAGGTTTATTTCAGATAACAATTCTAAGCTTTAGTTAATTTTCTTTTAATTCTTTTAGAGGGTTACAAAATGCCAAAAAGCAGGGGTTTAGTTCAGCAAATGAGTAGAAAGAAACAATGGGTTTTATGTGAGGAGTGGGTAAATATTATGACCTGAACTGTGGAAAATTTTAAGTAATGCAGCATTTTGGAAATATGCTTGTACAGCTATCAACTTTTACTTGATGATATCTATTTATTCTGACTCTTAAAACCAAAAAAAAAAAAAAATCTCAGCTCAAGTCTTATCACTGAACCACTACCAGATGTGATATAAAACCATTATACCTGACACCAGGCTGTATATGGCTCCATAACATGCCGTAAACGTGAAACCCCCTCTTCCAATTGGGTTTGTGGATTCTCCACATATTTAGTCTCACGAGCTGGAGAGGAGTAGAGTGACAGCTGTGAATATTAGCAAACAAGAGGTTAAAAAACCAAAGGTGTAATTGTGTAAGTAGGTCTTCAGGGCATGAACAGTCTAACCAGAGAATACCTAACACTGTGCTTACTACATAAACAATGCATAATAAAAAAATTCAGGCACAGCTGTGAGACAACCATTATGAGCAAAGTTTAATTACATACTATGATGAAGATGACTTCTAATTGCTATGCAATTCATCCATAGCTGCTACACGATCCAAGTCACAGGTTATAAATTAATATTAAACTAGTTTAATAAGAACACAAAACATAATTGTGAAAAATGTTTCTGGTCTTAATCAGCACTTCTGGTTCCCAGTTAACATACTAAATGTACTAGAACTCTGAAATCACAATCGATCATTTTCTATATTTGCACAAGCCATCATTAAAGAGTCTAAGTAGCTTCTAACAAAGGTAACATCCAATATAAATTTGTCTGTTTGTTACCGAGCAGGAAAATGGTACAACATCCCAATGTTGCAGTCATTAACCACATCAGCAACTGACAGCATTAATGGGGCTGAGCAAATAGGAACTGCAACATCCACCTGAAGAGCAATGGGCATCTTCACATAATAAACACTAAACCACCATATTTAGGGTTTAGCATCACAACGTATTTATTACAATTACCTAAACATATTTAAAATTGTATTCTATTAGAAAAAAAAAACTATGCTGTTGAAGATGAACAGCAAAGTCTAGATTAAAACAAAACCTGTTAAAATTACTAGAAGTTTATACACTATACTGGTGTTTAATATAAAGAGCTTATATTTTATGCTACATTTATACCAAATTTTGTAGCTTATTATAAACTGATGTTTACCATATTTTACACATCAAAGTGTAGCTAGCCCTCTTTTCCAAGTAAGTTGGAAAACAACTGTATCTCTATCATAATAAAAAAAGCTGCTAACCATAAGAAAATACATCACGACACAGAATTTGTCATATAATTCAATAATTCGTGCAGCTGGATTTCCCATAATACCTCAAAAGACAAGCATTTTAAGTCTCATTTCCCTTGGAAATCCAGTCATCTCTGGCAATCATAGTTACAATCAGTTTAACTTGGATCCTGTTAGACAACTAAGAGGCATGTCTGGCACAAGGACAGAAGTCTCAGAGATAAGGAAATTCCCATACATTTTATGAAACTAGACAGCTGACAGAGTAGAGATCCAAACTGACATGCTCTGTGAATGGTAAGAAAGGCAGCCAAAACTCCACAGCTTGCACATTCTGCTTTGCTGAAGCTGATGGGCAAGCCAATTATTCCGCACACATGTAACTTCAAACTGCTGCCTCATTACTGACTCATGACAGTGGTGGTGGAGGGCACGCGACGGCCCAAGCTCAGGTTACTGCACTGGGGTGAAGCCAGAAACTGCTTCAACTATTGATCCTCTCACATTATGCAAGTGAATGCCCATTCCGACACATCCAAAGCAAACCTAAGTTTCATTTACTTTCACTGCTCATGTAACAACACTTCAGATTGGGTTGAAGTACTTACATTTTTTAAACAACTACAAACTCTCTTGGATATAAAGCTGTATTTAGTTATGAACTACAATTTTTTTTTTTTTTTTTTAATATTGGAAACTATTAAAAGCCTATTCAACAATGCTGGTGAGTCTACAGTTTGACAGGGTGTTCTAAAGCGCCACTTGTGATATAACGTGATATAACCAAGACATCTGTAACATCTTAAAGAAACAATAAAGTAACTGTTTTTTATTATCAGTACTTATCGTATCTGTTGTTGCTTAGGTCTGAATGCTGAAAAGAAAGGAAAACTGATAAAATTCTGTAGGCTACTATATGGGATTCAAAGCACTGCCAGGCAATAATTTTGCCTGTAGAAAAAAAGAGAATATTTTCAGAAATAAAAACTTTGTATTTGCTGTTTTACTGTAGAACATAAATTTTATTAGAATTTGCCAATAGTACTTGCAATAAAAAATACACGGTGTTACCTGGATAAAAAACAAATAAAATATTCCTGAGGATTTGGAACATGACAAGTAAATCTGCAAACACGAGTGATTTCTGAACAAAGAACAGAAGACTTTAATGTAGGAAAAATCTTACACACAAGCAAGCCTGATGCTATCTAACAGAGGCCATCAAATGCAACCTTCCGGTCAAAGCAGCAAAACCACATTGAAATCTCTATTACCGAATACTGAGAAGCAAGTTTAAATGCGAGAATACAAAAGGTGCAGAGATGTACCTAAATGCTTTCATGCATCAAAAGATAATGTCTTTCAGAATTCTGTAGATATTTCCGTACAGGTAGAAGAGCACAAGGGCTCTAACCATACTTACCTCCTCAATTTTCAGCAACTCCTTTTTGGAAGTCTCCTTCTCTGAAGAGGAAGCATAAACCTGGATAGAGAGCAAGCTCAGGCTAACAGGGGTGGCCCCCAGCCGAATTACCTAGAAACATTACAGGAGGACATGTAAATCATTAAGTTCAAACAAAATGGCAACACATTTGAACACGTCCATGCAGACAATGGTTATGTCCCCGTATACGGTAATAAGTGATATATTAAGATGCTCAGAAGTAAGGAGAAAGGGGAGTCAGTGTTATACAATCTAATGCTCGCAGGCATCCAAATGATAACAAATGAATTATTCAGATGATATTTGGAAAAGCCTAAGGCTAAAGGAGACTAGATATAAATGCTCATCTCATCGGTTTTCATCTCACAAAAAGATCTTCTGTTTTCTCTCACTTGAAACATAATTTTCACTAACTTTCTCAATATAGATAATAACAACATTATATTCATATTTTGAACAACTTTGTGAATGTCTATAGCCCCTCAATTTTTCCATAGGTAGTATCACTAAGTTCAGCGTTTTATTTCTACTTATTGTCTGCATCCAGATTTAGGGGAAAAAAAACAACAACAAAAAAAAAAGATGCCTACAGTTGAAAGTGTCAGAACATAATCACTGCTTTCCAAGAATTTTAGGAACATCTCCTACTTTTCTGTAAGAAACATGAATTACAGTGCATCGTGACAGATACCTGATTGTTTCTGAACACTTCAGGTTCAATCCAGTCATACAAGACAACCACCATGAGTAAGGTGGATATAAATTCTTCCTATATTCAGGACTTACACTAAATTGTGTTTCTTAACAGGAGAGACTGCTTTAACTTAAAACAGTAGATAAAAATCTTAGCTGTGTAGCAAATGCAGAACGCACAGCAAGCATTACCCAACAAATGCACATCCTTATTAACAGCAATGTTTAACTCAAAAAACAGCAGCTGAAAAAAGAAACCTTTCAATGCCTCATATTCAAGTTACTGCTCAGATAAACATGTGCAGAGTTGCAACAGCCTGCACTCTGTTGTATCAGGTTACTGCGTGAGTGGATCTAACAGGCTGCGGCCACCAAAAACTGGGGAGGTCTGGCTCTGCTGGAGGCATCAGTTCCCAGAAGTCCTGCTGCTCACCTTGCCCTAGCTTCGGTGGCCAGACACTTCCACCATGAGGCAACTGACCTCACCAATTTGGCAAAAGATTAATCCTGAAAAAGAAGCGGAGAGCTTTGTGCGGGCTTAGTAAATTGAACCAATCCATGAAAGCAGCCTGACAAGCACCAGAGGAACTGTGTGGCCAGGGAAGAGGGGGTGAAAAAGGAGAAGGCAGCAAGCCCTCTTCCTTTTCAGAAATAGTAAGGGTACATTACACTGACCTAGCTGCTTGTGAAACTGAGGCCTTGGTCAAACCAATACATCCTTCATGCCATTAGGATGATAACTGACCTAGTCACAGGACAATTACTCTGAAACTTTGTTTCTGTCCATTGCAGAACTGTTAGAAAATAGCTACACGCTTATTGTATACAGATCAGCATTTGCAGCTTAAATTTCTTCCACTGCTTTGCAGATGGAATATTTATTAAACGTAACCAAGAGACTCCTGAAACTCAAAATTAGACCATATAGTTGTCAAACCTCCTGAACACGTCAAGTTATGTATAGAGAAACAGCACACAAGAACTAGGTCATAGGATTGCTTTGCAGAAAGACATAAGGGATCTGATGAATCAAAGGGTACAGAAAAACTTGCTTAAAATTGAAGTTTTTCCTTATTTGAATTTATGGACTCAGTATTACAGCGCTATATAATCAAACACCACAATGACTGGAACAGCTGTTTCACAGCCAAGGGAAGACATGAATAATCTTTAAGCGTTTGCTTAAACAAAGACTTTTCACATAATTTCATTAGCCAAGATAAAAACATGAACACCACTAACCATTAACAGCTGTAGAATCTATTTCCTCAATCTTTCTTTTTTTCACTGCAAAACTGTTTTGTCACTGAAAAGGCAAAAATCTAAATGCATTTTCATTCTGAAAAATATTTGCAAACAGTGTAAATGGTGCTAAATGTCACCAATAGTAAGTCCAAATGCTTCAAATATTTGAGATTTTTATATAAAGACGCAAACAGTGGAGCATAAGAACAGAAGCACTTTGGTTTCACAAACAGATAGCAGTGATCACAGAACTACTCAGACTGACTATTCATACTATCAAAATACTGAAGTGCTGGCACTTTCCAAGGGTTTCATATTTACATTTGAAACTAAATGAAATTAACCACTAGAAGTGCAAGATTAATCTCTCCTTAAATGCACTGTTTAAGCTATACTCTATATCAGATAACTTTATGGGACAGACACAACTGGCACTGAATCACCATATATATGTACACACTAAAAGGTTTATTCGGTAGTATGAAAGATTAACGATTCTACTTCTTGTTTCCAAAATTCACTTTAGGATCTCATTTCTTAATTCCATATTAACCACATTTTACGAAACAAATCAGTTTAGTAAAACATTTTGATTGAGCTATGCCTTTAGTCTGCCTGTCTTACAGCTATTCAGTTGATACCAAAAAAATAGTGCTGACAGACTTTTCTCTAGGCAATGCTCTGCATTTAAGTAAAAAAAAAAAAAATACACTAAGCTTATTCCCTTCTCTAGCTGAAAAATTCAATTTTATCTGTACACACCAGATCACTCATAAGCAAATTCTGAAAGCTGAAGGAAAAAAACCTACCATATTTTGTCATCTATTGTCCTGCTTTACCTTCTCAAAGTTCTTAATGCTTAACTAAAAAATACCTCTGAGAAGAATAAACCCCATACTAGTTCTCGATACAAACAAGGGAGCAGAGCTAAAGATTAACTAGAAGTTTTGTCTTCTTTCTCCTCTTGTCTGTGGTTTCTCAGTCCACTTGTTGCTGTTCTTGTCACCCTATCAAAACTGGGGAAAGGAAGGAAAAAAATCCTCAATCACACCTTTGTGAAGGCTGATTTTGTCCTAATGCATGAAGCTGCTTCATTTTTCTTTCCTTTTTCCATTCTTTCTCGTATCTCTCAATCCCAACTGAAAAAACAAAATGCCCCAAACCAAACTCTTGAGTATTCCAGTTCCCTGAAACACAGATAAAAAGGACAAGAAGCCACCTTCCCCTTCTGCTTTTGGAGGCAAAAGATTAGGTTGGCCTGAAGCACTGAAATCTACTTAACCTCAATGGTTGTATAGAAGTACTAATATTACGCATAGCACCTAAACCCACAGGTTCACACATAACCCCTTTAATGACAATTCAGCATCACTTCCGGAATTCTCAACGATTCTGAGATAAAATCCTGACATAAGAATTCCAACAGTTGTCCCAACATTAAAGTACAAAAAAAAAAAAAAAGTTGCAACAAGAGTACAGCAAGCATAGGCTGTTCAGCATATCAATATATTGATATATTACCATCAATTTTTGACAAACAAAAAAGGTACGAAAGAGAATGAATTTCAAGAACCAAGTGTCAGCAGTTTTGGGAAGTCTTCCTGCTTCTCAAGTAGTCATGGCAACAATTTGACTGAAACACACAACTGAAGGGACCTGGGACTCCTCTTATCAGAGGCAAATATCTTTAAAACAATTATCTGATTTAAACCCAGATTATGCACGTTCACCCCTCTTCACAGCCTTCCCTGACGACCTGCGTGCAATAAAGGGAGACTTCCGAGACGAGGCCTTCCACAACTGCAAGAGTCCAAACTCTGCAGTGACACTAACTCACAGCTCCGCGATGCTGCGGCCGAGAAGCGATTTTAAGTAAGGAATGCGTTTATGTGTTTCTTCCCGCGCAAGACAGGACAGGGCGCGCGCTCCTCGACTATTAAAAAGAGCGATTATTTATAGAGCTGCCACGGGAGCAAAACTAACAGCTCCCAAGAGACATCGACAAAACACCCCGGGGACAGCTGCCAGCAGGTAAGGCAGGGTTTAGAACAACTTCAGCTGGAACGTGAAAAAAAAAAAAAAAAAAACAAAACCAAAACCAAACAAACAAAAAAAAACCCACTCGGTGGTAGCAACGCCGGGGCCTTGGCTCCGGCGCCCCGTCAGCCGCGGAACTAGCAGCTGCTTTACACCGGGCAGCGGGAGGAGCGGCCCGGGCCGGGCCAGGGCTCCTCACGGCGGGGCCGCCCCCTGCCGGCCCGGCGGCACCGCACCCGCCGCCAGAACCGGCGCGTCCTGCTGCGAGGCCCCGGGGCGGCTGCCGGGCCTGAAGGGAAGGTCCGGCGCCCTCTCCCCCGCCGCGGGGCGGGGCGGGGAGCGCTGCCGACGGAGCGGGCGGGGAACAGCGACGGAGGGGGGACGGCGGCTGCCTCACCTTGAACATGGCGCTCCCGAGCGGGCGGAACACACCGGCCGCGTCGCCGCGCTGTGACGTCGGGAAGCCTAGCCCTCCGGGGGGGGGGCGGGACCGCTGGGCTCGGGTCACGCCCACCGGCGCCGCGGTAACCTGGCAACGCGGTGTGGGCGGGGCCTCTCCGCGCCCATGTGGTCCCGGCCGCGGAGAGGGGGGAAGGGGGCGAAGTGGGGGGGGAAAGGAGGGGGAGGTAAAAGCAGAAGGGGCAGCGGTCAGCCTCGGCGGGAGGAGGTGCCAGGGATTGTTCGGACTGGGCGAGGACGTGATTGCCGTAGGTTGTTAACATTGTTAAAAGCAACGCAAGCACGTTCACAAGGGGAGTACATCGGGCACATGTCGATTTCTTTTTTAAATTCAGACTTGCTTTGGTCTTGCATCTTGAGTAAGTGCTTACTGCACTCTGGAAGGACCTTAGTAATAGAAAATATTCTAAATTTCAGTATCTACAATGCAGAAACATCTCTTTAGAACTTATTTATTAAAAAAAAAAAAAGTGCCAGAGTACCAAAAGCACATACACACTATTCTTTAGACCTGCAAGCATGGCTCAGTGTATTACCTCGGGGCCTTTATAATGGATATTTAGAGACATCTCAATGCCAGTAGAATTTGGATGGGGCTAGAGTACGGAGACCAAGGTAGGGATGTGCCTTTCTGATCTCAAAGTACTAAAATAGAAAAATATGACTACCCTCTTCTCCATATCTGAACACTCCTTGGTTTCTGCAGCCCAGGATGTGGCATCTCCAGCTCATTTCAGCAAGTTGGATGGGAATAAACTCTTTTTCGCTCACATCTGCTGTGAGGGCGGGTCTCATATACATCCCATGCTGTCTGACTCGGTGATAGAAGAATATCTGAAATAGTGAGTAGTAAATTCACATCAAATAAGATAAACCAATGAGAAATTCTGTTCTAATTTAAATCATGGGAAATCTGTCCTCACATTGTCAGTTAATAAACTGCTTCTTTGTTTCTTCAGGAGACTGTTTCTTCAGGAGCTGGTCAGGAGTTTCCACCTTTTGTTGTGTTTAAGATCTTCTGCAGCACTCACGGCTACATCAGCAGAAAAAGAAAAAGTCCATCAAATGAGGCGATGTTCTTCATGTTTGTATGTCATCGTTTTCTGACCAGTTACTTTGATCTTGGTGCTTGTTATTTTTAACATTTTTAAAGATATTTGTCCTCATACTTAATCTTGGTCACATAACACCATATTTCAAATGCAAACAAGTGCCTTGCTTTCACTGAATACTGTCAACTTTTGGGTAGCAGTGAAAAATTACCTTGAAGCTTAAGACACAAAAATACTCAAAAGCATTAGTCTGTATTCTCTGTTCAGATTAACTGCCATGTGTGGAAAATGCAGGTTCCATAGGCTGTGCCACACACTTGCCACCACAGTTCTGCTGGGGGGCTTCTCCATCAGGACTTGAGGTGAAGGGGCGATTTAGGCTGCCAGACTTTTGAAACCTCCCAGGAGCCTCTGCTGCCTGGGCAGGGACTGGGCACAGGCTCTGCCAGGGGGTTCACAGCAGCACCCTTCCCCTTTGAAGTGCACCCTGTCACCTCCTCCTCCTCCCCGCCGCGGGGAGAGCGGCCTACGCTCCTCATTTAGACACTTAAGAACACCAAGAAAATAATGTGGTCCTCTCTTTATGAGGTTTCTTCAGGTCCCTCAAAATATTATAGTAATTTAAAACAGTTAAAATTGATTTTACAATATGAAGAATAGCACCCTACTAGCACTGGAAAACTTTATAAAAAACAATTTTTATGCAGAAGGTAAAGCACCTGAAGAACAGAGTAGCAAAGAGTCCATCAGGAAGGGTATTGTGGAAAGACAGTCGAGGTATGCACCCTCTTAGAAATTTTCTTTGTGATGCTAATTTTTGTTGTTCCCTCTTAAAGAATATTCCTACATTTCTTTATTTTAGTCTCTTTACAGACCTAATGGAACCAGCTATAGCAGGAACAAATACTTTCCAGGCTAATGGGGATGTCTGACCATCGCACTGCAGACTTGGGCGATGCTTCTCAATGAGCTGTTTGTAAAATCAGCAGACAGGCCTTCCTTGTTGTTGGTACATTCGATTATTGTCAGGAGCAATTTGGTTATTACAGATCTGGTTATGAAGATTCCCTCTTTAGCAAGGAATAGTTATATGTAAAATGTACCTAAGTGACCAATGGGTGAAGAAGGCTAATTGCCCTCTTTCTCCATTGCATTATGCTTTGCAGTCAGTTGTATATGTGGAAAATAAACAGATAAGAGTGTGGCAAATGTTTGTGGAAAACCAATTTTGCAGTATTTTATGGCAGTTTTGTGAGAGCATGGAGAGTGATGGGGTAGTTTGCAATCGCCATCCTGATGTGTTTTAGTCATCCTGAAGGAGTTTGAGAAAGAAAATTGTCAAAGCTCAAAATGACAGGAGAGCCCACAAGAGGAGTGATGGCACTGAGGTGAATAGCGGCACCTGCTCTGGTTAGTTCTCAACTAAGTCCCAGCCTGTGTGTGGGACCGGCTGTTTCCCAATTTTACAGAGAACAGATATAAGAATATTTCAAGTCCATTCTCTTTTATGTTAGGTACATGAACAGTAATGAAGATACCAACTGTTTCTGGACACACAGTGGTGTGTATCTTACAAATGCATAGTTTTGTGATCAATTTATATTCAGTGACTACACAGCAATTATTGATACAATTATGCAACACAGATATAAATATCTGAAGCACAGATGGTGGTTTTATAAATTTTTTTAAACCAAACAATTTTATCAGCTCCAGCATCCTCAGTATATTTTTTTCTTTAATGTGGAAGTTAATCTTTACAGTGATTGATATGACCGATTAAAAAGAATGGGAAAACCTTTATAGAGAAGAACAATACAAATACATTAGCTTTCCAGTGGGTGTTTTGTTTTCTTACAGACTACCAGTAATCTGGATGAAAGCCCTGCGTACTCTGGTGGCAGGAATAACTGCTGGAGAAAGTTATCTCTGCAAAATTTCCCTGGGACAATGATAATATATGCCATAATGGATTATGCACAGTCCAAAACATTGTCAGACAGGCTTAAAAAGGAGCTGAAGTTTCTGCTGCTGAGGCCACAGAATAAACAGCTTTGGCATGATCAACTCCTGGCTGTTTCTAATGTAAGAACCTATACCAAGTTTCAGGTTTATTTTGGAGGCCAGTATTTCTCCCTTTCCTTGATAATTGGATTTTCTAAATACTTTTGAAATAAATATCTCCTTCAGGTAGCTGCAGCTCAGAGAAGCTTGAAAATGTTGCCACAGTTCATAAACTGTGTCAGCCCAGGCAGAAATACAAGTTAAGAAACTTGATCTCTAATCCTTTGCCTTAGTCATTACAGCTTGAGCTTTCATGATGTTGTGTTAGAGTCCTTATTTACACTTTAATTTTTTGTCGGGAAAATAAGAACAGTCCCTTACTAGTGATACAGTGACAGTTATGTGCCACATATTTATAGGTACAGTAGAAAAAAATTGATCTGTTGCACATTTCTGATAAAATGTGAGTTTGTAACATCTGCCCATTAAGTATCAGTGCAGTTACCCACTCCCACTGATCACTGGAAAGCATACATCTGAAAGGCTGGTTTATTTTGATGTTTTCCTTCATAATAAATCTCACCCTTTTTTTTTTTTTTTTTTTTTTTTTTTTTAAACCCACATTTTTCCATGCACCTTTTATTCACTAAATTGAACGAGCTTTTTAATACTAGGACTTGCCACTACAGTTTTGCCAGCCTGTTTAGAATTTATTCTTAAGGTCTTTATAAAATAAACCGCTTTTCTGCCTCTTACAGCTTTTTTTTGTGTCATGTTGTAAGTTAAAAGAATGCTGTTTGGTATATCTCTCTTCAAGTTCTTTTAAAAATATGTCATTAATAGGAAATACACCACTACAACCACTTCAATAAACTCAGCTTTCAGCTGTTAAGCAGCTTCACCTAACGCCATGAGCCTGGCTTTCTAAATGCCCAGCACAAAGCACAGTCAGAGGTGACGTGTCAGATATACAGCTTTTCTAGGTTGGTCTCCAAAGCACACAACCCATTTCTCACATTCCCATCACTTTTAGCACATATTTGTCAAACAGCTAATTGAACTGGCTTTTATAGGGTTGTGTGATGATGGATCCTCCCCAGTGTCTTTATGAAGGGAGTGCAGTTCGTATATTCACAAGAACACTCTTTCATTGTTTCTACTTTATTCACTTTCTAACATGAAAAAAAAAAAATGTGTTGAACAGATTTTTGTATTTAATGATACTGGTTTATTTGGAGTGAAACTTACCTTGTTCTTTTGCTTCTCATACTTAAGCTGGATCATTTTTCAACATTTGGCAGAGATGCTATTTTAGCAGCTACAAGGTCTGAAGTCAGACATTCAGAAAGTAAAATGAATGTTAAGGACAGATGCCATTACAGAGCTCTTTGTGCCTTCCCACTGATCTACCTTTAATTGAAGCAAAGGCGTTACTGTATTCACATTTGCGGTATACCAGTACTTGAATCTCAGTATGTGCTGTCTCATCACTTTGTCACGTTCTGACAGCATCCAAAATATACTCAGTGCTTTCCAAATAAAGATCCTATATTCTAAGACAGGGGACAGGTAGAAAAGAGAAACATATCATGCAAAAACCCCAACATAATTCAACTGCATAAAGTTTCACTTTTGATATCACCATGATTAAACACCCAAATGTTTCTTCTCTAATTCAAATCTTCAACTTCTCACTGCAGCCATCAGTAGCTCTAGTTCCACATTTTTCAATTACACAAATAATTCTGTTAAGTTGTTGATGCTACCAGCAGAGATGTCAGCTAACGCGTGGTGTAGCAATCATCTTCTACAGCACAGATATATGCTACAAGTAGCAGTGAGAACACAAACACCTTTTTGATGGTTTTAAGCACCTATCACAACAAGTTCCAACTCCTTTCAAAATTCAAATGCATCTCAAATTTCAGTCTAGCTGGATACATCTTGGAAATTAACTGAGGCTAAA